TGCTTGGTTAGGTTAGATTGTCTCCTGCAAAAAGGATTAATCCTTACGTAGTAGTTAGTTAATTTGTTAATAGAATCATATACTGTAAAAAAAAAGAACCAATCAAAATATAGCTTTTGTATTCATTTAACCGATGTAAGAGTGAAGTTTTGTTTATATGTGTGTATACCAACTTGGGAGATTAGGTTTAATGAATTTTTTCAAAAAATCTCAACTATATTTGCAAGTATTGAGTTTGAGAGCTCATAACGGCCTAAGAGAGCACTTAGTTTTTATTTTCGATTTCTTACTGCTTTTTACCTGAAGTATTTTGTTTTGCTTCAACAACCATTGCGTTACCACCATTAATTACTGCTATCATCCTTCGTCACCAGTGGCTACCACTGTAAACTAGAAAAAGAAATCCCAACGCTAAAGTCAGAGAACCCACAACGTTGCCATACCTTCTTTAACCAATAGTGCGTATTTCTCCTTAGTCTATAAAAAAAAAAAAACCTAAAAGATAACCAAACCTAGAAAAGCAATATCAAACAAAGACCCAAAATTTTGATTTTGCTTTTGGACGTTCCTGCTAATGGTGTTTTTTGGCATGTTGATTGTTCTTAGTTAAGATTTTCAATTTTTTTGCTTATCTGCTTGTATGCAAATTCTAGGTTTTATGTTTTTTTGGAAATAAAATTTTTGTTGTTAGGAATTGTATCAAACATCAAACAAACAACCAATTTCTATTCGGCAGCCACACTAATTTTTAGGGACAACCATCAATAGAGCAAATAAAAGAAATCTAGAAACAAACCCAACATCTACCAGAAAAATTCACAAAACCTGAATCTACCCTGATTTATACATAAAGCAGCCACAAATCCATATAACAGGCACAACAACTCATCAGCAAGGGGTTTTTTATGGGTTTTTATTTGAATTTTTTTAAAAAATTTCTTAGTTTTTAAAACAGAGACGAAAAGAAGAAAAAAGAAAAGATCAATTGGCCGCACACACCACAACAACATACTTTTCCAATATTTGTTCCCCCGCTTGTTGAAAATTGTGATGAATTCATGTTTTCAGACCAATTTTTCTTTGAAAAGTTTGAATTTGATAAATAATAAACAAAAAAAATTGGGAAAGAGATAGAGTTTATTGATTAGACGTTAATGACAATAAAGAAAACTAATAGAATGTCACGAATACACAATTTAGGATGGTTAAGTGTCACTTTTTAAACTTCAAGAGATAAATTCAAACTGCATTAAACCTTCAAGTATATTTATATAATTTACCCTTAAATATATTGTTACCATCAAATTCTATAAGTAATAATTAAATATTTTTATTAACAAAATTTAATTTAATTTAAATTTATTATCTTTTTAAATTTTAAATGAATTTCTTAATAATCTATATAATTTCTTTTTAAATTTAAAAATCTTAGTAATAAATGCTATTTTAAAATAGATTTCTTAATAATCTAAAATATCTATCTATCTATCTTTTTGAATCTAAAAATCCCATAGTAATATATATCTAGATTATTTAGATATTAATTTAATTACATATATCCATCCAAATCACAAAATTTCTAATGAAATAAAAACAAGAAACATTAACAGAATAAAAAAATCAAAATTTTAAGACACCAAAGTATATCTTTTTAAAGAGAAGAATATATCTCAAATGTAAAATATATTATTTTTAAAATAGATTTATATATCCTTTAAAAAAAATAAAATGTACTCATATATTATTTTTAAAATAGATTTCTTGATTACTTCAAAAAATGGATTTTTTGATAATTTAAATATATATCTTTTAAATTTCAAATTCTCAAATGCAAATTTGATTTTTAGAGATTTCATAATTATCCACTATTAAACTAAAATGTACTAAGATATTATCTTTAAAATGGATTTCTTGATTATTTTTAAAAAATGAATTTTTTGATAATTTAAATATATATCTTTTAAATTTTAAATTCTCAAATGCAATTTTGATTTTTAGAGATTTCATAATAATCCTCTATTATTTGATTATTTTTAAATTCAAAAGTGCAAAATATCACATATTAGAACGAATAATTAAACAAACTCTTAAAGCCAATTATTTTATCTACATTTTTTTCTAGACCTTTATGTATGCTTCTTCATATTTTGGAAAATATAAAGTTACAATTTACAAAAGCATTTATTCTTTTCTTTTATAGGTGTTGATGACATGTTTCTTATCTTTAATTTACAAATATATGCATTAAATTTGCTTTTATTTCTAAAATAGGTTTTATGTTTAATAATACTACTAGAAATGATAATTCACAAATTTACTTGTAGACCTCAAGTGGCAGTACCATGTGCAATGATACTATGCTACCAGTTTTACATGTATTAATCTCATACAAAGAATGGTTGACAAGTAGATGTTTTATTACTCTGTTTTAATGCTTATTTGCTTTCCCTTTCAAAATATATAGAACTGTTTGTTTTCAAGCATGGATGCTAATAGAGATTAGATGCATGTGTAAGTACTTTGCATGAGACTTTTTATCAACAAACATCTAGATTAACATTTAGTTACATTCTTTACTCTAAAAAAACATTTAACTGCATTTTTTTATTTTAATATAATATATTATATATCTTTTGGATATTTTATTTTTCTTCAAATATTATTTTTCATATTTTTGAAATTTAATAAATTTTTAATAAAATTTTTAATTTTATAATAATTTGATATGTTAATTATATTATATTTATTTTACATATATTTTAAATATATAAGTGATTAAATAGTGTTAATTTATGTATTTTTACACATTTAAATAATTACAAATTATCCGTACATCGCATAACAACTAATGTATTGTATTAAGAACTTCATTCTTGATGCTAATTTACTAGGTGTCGTGGCATCAGATAATTGTTACATCATTTGTTCTTTCAATGTTGATATTATGTTTACATCATACCTAATTTTACTAAGTTGTCTTGGCATCACATAATTCTTAGCCATATTTTTCCTGTTATTTCTTTCCCTCTGTTAGCTACAACACTCTTGTCAGGAACTCCCATCCTTATCAGAATTACTTGGTCTTAGTCAAACGATTAAATCCAAGAAGGAAAAGGTGGAAATTAGATTTTCTTTAAGCTACTAAATTTTTTAGGATGGGTTCAAAAAAAAAATTAATACATTTATAAAATTTATTTTTTTTATAATTTTTTAATAAATTCAAATCTATAGTCAAAAAAGAAATATATTCTTTTATCACTTGAACCAATATTCGTTCCTAAATGTCTTCTTTATACATTAACTGTAACCATTTCAAAGATTTAGAGTTTAATTGATTGGAAATATTAGCTTAATTGTCAAATCTGTTTTGAAGGCTGTAGGATTTAGAGTTTAATTGATCGAAAAATTAGCTTAATATCAAATATGTTTTGGAGGCTGCCTCTTACCTACCTCAACCAATAAAAAGCAAATTTGACTTGTACTTAAAAAAACCCCTTAAAATCAGAACAGGCAGTTTATTAAAAGCTATGGACATAAAGTTCTCCATTCACACTGCACTTACGTATAATAATTCATTTTGTCTATGCTTAATTAATAAGTACCAAAGTTAATCGGAATATAAAGATTTACAAGCAAGAAGCAACCCACAGGTAGCAACAAACCAATATCCGCGGCCCCTATTGCTTGAAAATTGAAAAAAGTTAGACAATTCCACTCGGCCTGCAACAAGTGATTTATCTACTACTTATCAACTATGCAGCTGTGGCAACAATGGAAGCGTTTGAACATTGACAATTTCAAGCAATGGGAAAATTTCTTAGGTTTTGACAAATTAAGCTTTCAAGCCCTTCACTTTTTTCGACGTTCTTTGGGCAGTTGGGGGGGCTCGTGTTTCAACCTTCTAAGTTACATCAAGAATATCCAGTTATTCACACTGAAAATTTACATTGACTAGGGAAAAAAAGAGTTATGCTATATTACAGAAAACTATTTTTTATTTCTCGCAAATTATATGACGAAAATAAATAATAATTTTATGGATATTTGTTATTCAGAGTAATCAATGGAAAGATTATCATATGAGATTAAGGTAAATTTTAGTTTTAGATTATGATTTAATATTAAATTTTACCTTTATACTTTTAATTTTATTGATTTTTAGATAAAAATACAATGACTTAAAATATTTCATTAAATATTATTTTAATTCACAGTAAATTCCTGCTATTGTATTCGCAATTGCATTGACTTTTTGATAAAAAAAAAGACCATATTGAAATATTTCACAAAATATTACGATGTTAATGTAAATAATAAATTTCCATCAATTTCGTTATTTTATATTTAAAAATTAACAAAATTAAAAATATAAAAAAATTCAATGAAATTGAAATGCGGTTGCAAAATTGATATTACTCATAATATAATGACAAATTTTGCCAACAATCAATGTAATAAATCTTTGAACTTTTAATTTTATTAATTAGGATTCAACTTCTAACAATTTAAAATACTCAAAAAATTTTGACAAATTTGATCTTAATTAATGCATTAAAGAATTCTTTAACCCCTCTCCCTAGAAAAAAGTTAAGCAACCCATTCTGCCTGGATTTGTATGACTTTTTAATGGTGGCTACAAGACTAATCAGCAATAATCAAGTTAATGTTTTTATGTAACAAAAGGTAGCCGAAACTTCACTGAGAGTCACTGTTATAGCCATAGCTCGCCACTGGTGACCTTGTCTCTGGTAAGACCAACTTGGGTGAGGAAACTGCCCCTTGGTCCTCACACAGAAAAGCTTTACCTTTCCTTATGTTTGACCAAATTGAAAAACGCCGAAGGAGAAGTACACGTGTTTCATTCTAACCACCATGAAAGAGTTTTTAAGACTCCGCAAACAAATGGGTGCTTCTGTCTTTTAGACTAGTCAAATTAGCAGTCAAACTTCACAGCCTCTGAGAGTTTCCTTCTTTATAAAAAGCCGAAAAACCAGCTTCCAAGTTTCTCATCTTCTTTCACTCAGAAACAATACCAAAACCCAAAGCATTCATTTTCAGATTTTGTAAGTTTTTCTTGTTAGCTAATAATGAAGAGAGAAAGAGAAAATGGAGAGATTCAGGGTTTTGACATTGCTAAATGTCTAATGCTGCTATCTCAAGGCCTAGAAACAAAGCCAAAAAACCATTCGGTTAGCGAGGTTTTCGAGTGCAAAACTTGTCACCGTCGTTTCTCATCATTCCAAGCATTGGGTGGCCATCGAGCGAGCCATAAGAGACCCAGATTGATGGGGGAGAAAGCAAATGAACAAACACAATTCTTAAGTTTGTCAACCAAGCCTAAGACTCACGAATGCTCCATTTGCGGCCAAGATTTCTCCATGGGGCAAGCTTTGGGTGGCCATATGAGGAAACATAGAGCTGCCTTGAACAAAAGCTTCTCTCCATTTCCCCCTGTTTCAACAGTGCCGGTGTTGAAGAGATCGAATAGTAGTCGGAGGGTTGTGTGCTTGGACTTGAATTTGACTCCATTGGAGAATGATCTGCAAGTTTTGTTCGGGAACAAGGCTCCCAAGGTTGATCTTTGCATTTGATATATAATCCCATGCATTATTCCCATGTCAAACTTGTAATTTACATTTCATTAACAACATTTTTTCATTTGTTTTATCATGTACAACATTTGAAATCTTGAATATTTTTCTTTATTGATTTGTATACTTTAATTTGTTTCTTTGGCTTTCATTATCAGTTAATTTGTTGTAATTCTGACTAAAATTTCTAATATTATCAAATTCATTTTTTCCCATGATTGTAAGTTCCATCATCATCAGTTAATTTGTTTAGTTCTGATAATAAATTCAGGAAGTAACTCATTGATCTTTTCTAGCCACTTGAAAACTTAAATCCAACTTTTTCTAGCCATTTCAGCTTTTGGGTTTGTCTCTTAAAAAAATAAAAACTACGGAAAAATCAGCGTTTGTTAACTTCGAAATTGTAAATTCAAGAATAAATATATATAAAGAATGGAACTCTCCTTTCACCCAAACCGTAAAGCATATTTATTCTAAACTCAGTTTATCTGTCATGTTCTTATATAAGTTAATTTTTTTTTAAAAAAAAGAAAAATTACATGTTAAAGCCTTATTTTTTTTCTATATTATTAGTTTATTGCAGGTTTTTTTTCCCTTAGCTAGGATAAATGGTTATGTTTTCAATATACTATTTTGAATTCTACAAAACTATTAATCTTTACTTAATTAAGAAGGTACAGTCTACAACAACGAAATAATGAACTTTACAAAGTTTTGGTAAATAATAGCTAATTAATCATTTTTGTTTTATCCTAATAAATTCGAATTATGTTTTTTAAATAAAAATAATTTACTAATTAATTGAGTAAAATGATCGATTAACTTTTAATTCAAAGGGATAATAATTATATATGACTTGAATTAAGATCAAATGGTCAAATATCTTGACCATCCTCCATTTAGGATTTGCTACCAAAAAAAGTAATATAAAAACACTGTTTCTCTTTTGTATATCAATGCAGTCAAATAACGCTAATGAAAACAACGGCTTCCACTTCTCTTAAAACTATAATTAGCTCTATATTTTTTAGCTATTAATTACTATTTTTAATCTATCCCAATGGTATAGAATCAATTTTAGGATTGAAAATTTCGAATTAAATTAATTATTTGAGCAACAAAAATTGTATTAGATCCATGAATGTTAAGTTTAACATTAAAATCTTGAAAACATAAAATCATTAAATATTTGCTATAAGAGAGTTTTGGTCTCAAATTAGTATGCCACAAATTTTTGTTATTTAAGATTATGAGCATAATGTACCAAAAGTTACAAAATAATACACAATAATTAATCAATTGTTATATATGTTAAAGTGATGCTAAAAAATAGTTGTTAACTTAAAAGTGGCTTCCGTTAAGAACGCGGGGTCCAGCCCCATTTGGTTTTGGCCAAAAGGCTTTTTGTTTTTAACCCAAAAAAAAAAAATAAAAAGCCTTATATAATAAAAGGTGGGTTGGTTTTTGGCATGAAAAGGAGTGGCATGAAAAACAGGAAAAGAAAAAACCAAAAAAGAAAGAGACGAAAGAGAAAAGAGAGAGGTGTAAGTTGAATGAAAGTTGATTTGTTGTTTGATTAAGTTAAAATTTTATGAACATATTCATGATTTAGTATTTTACATTCTAAACAGTGAAGATTGGGTTTGAAATTCTTTAGAAATAAATTTAAAATGTATTTATTGAGTCACATATCTGATGATATTTCTTTAATTATCTCTTTAATTGTTATTTAGCTCTAGTTTTAGTTAGAGAAAAAATTTATATATTTATTATTTGATAATAAAGATTTTTTTTGTAATCTATGATTTTTTCTTTTACACTGAAAGATTTCTCACGTAAATTTTGGTGTACTTTACTTTTTTTGTATTGTTAATTATTGATTGTTGTCTATTTGCTATAGATTTATTACGATATATTATTTTTGTATTGTTATATTTGTCACTTTAAACCCAACAAGTGGTATTAGAGCACTGATTATTCTTGAGACATTGATAAAATAGCAACATAAGACAAAAGTAAATTTTGTTTGAGATCATGAAAAGTGATACAAGTTTCATGATAAAATTGACAATATCAAATTATTCAATTTGAAAGCCAATGATGAAAGATTATTTATACTACAAAGACTTATATGAGTCGATATTGGATAATTAAGCTAAACCAACATATATGAAAGATGAAAGCTGAAAGAAGCTAGGTAAAAAGATGCTGACCATAATTAGAAAATGAATTGATATTATCATATTACATCATGTAGCATAGGAGACAAACGACCACACTGTTTGAGAAAAATTAGCAACATTGTATGAGAGGAAAACATGCATGACTAAAATTATGTTTGTTAAAAAGCTTATAACTTTACATTATAAGGATGAATAATAAATTACAGAGCACTTGAGTGATTTTCAAGATATATTCAATTTGATGAATACTATAGAGCTTAAAATGAATGATGAAATGAAAGCTTTATTTATTTTGGATTCATTGCTAGATAGTTGAAATACTTTAGTTGTGATTGTTCTTAATTTAGCTCCTAACCACAAGGTGACATTTGAGATGATAAATGACAGTATGCTTAATAAAAAAAAAAGATAAAAAGATTCAGACTTTAGGAATCAAGCTCTTGCAATTGATAACAGAGGTAAAAACATCAACAGAGGTTAAAACTTGAAAGGCTATAATAAGTCTAAGCATAAATCCAAGTCCAAAGATAAAGTATAGTATTACCATTATGATAAATCTGATCATATAAAGCGAAACAATAAAATCTTGAAGTAAGAGTAAACAAATAAAAAAAAAGAGTTCAGATAATGGTAATGCTACGATGGTGAATTCAAATAATGTTGGTGATCATATTGGTGATCACGACATGGAGAAGATAGTTGACATAAGAGAGACATATCATTCTGCTCTTAAGAGGAAGTTATTTACAACTTACGAAATAAGAGACTTTGGTTGCACCAAGATGAGAAACAAGAGTGTGTCTTAGATTATTGGACTTGATGATATTGTTGTACAAACTAGTACAGGCTGCATGTTAACTTTGAGAGATATTAGACACATTCTAGATATGAGAATGAACTTACTTGTGATTAATATCCTTAATAAAGAAATATATGAAAGTTAACAAAAAAATAGATAGCAGAAGCTTTTTAAAATATCAATAATAGTTGCAAAAGGAAAACTATACCACACAATGTACAAGACATGGATACAATTAAATAACAACTAGATAAATATCATTGAAGATGATGCTTCAGCAAATTTATGGCACCAAAGGTTGGCATACATGGTAAGAAGGGGTTACAGATTTTGGCAAGGTAGTTTTTTATTTTCTTGATCAAAGATACATCTCTCAATTTATATGATCATTATTTGTATGGTAAGCATCGTAGAGTTTTCTTTCATAAATGTTCTCGAAGGAAAAAGATATATTGAAATTAATTCATTTTGATGTATGTGGTCTTATTAAGGTTGAGTTACTAGGTGGTACCAGATATTTTGTTACTTTTATCGATAATGCTTCACGTAAAACTTATGTGTATATGTTAAAAAATAAAAGCCAAGTACTATAGTATTTTCAAAAATTTTATGCCATAGTGAAAAGGATGACAGGGTTACCCTTGAAGTGTATTCAAACTGATAATGGTAAAGAATACACATCTAAAAACTTTTAAGAATACTATTCAAAGCATATGATCAATTATGAGATGACAGAACCTAAAATGTCATAGCATAATGGTGTAGCTAAAAGGATGAACTGCACCATTATAAAAAAATTTAAATGTATGCTAAATGTGGCAAAATTAGCAAAATCATTTTGAGATGAAGCAGTCAATACAGCCTATTATTTGCTTAACAGATAACCATCAGTTCCTTTAGGTTTTGACATTTTAAAAAAAATATGGATAAAGAAAGATGGTTTATACTATCCCTCGAAGGTTTTCAAGTGTAAAGCATTCTTACATGTGTCGAAAGAATAGAGATCAAAGCTTAATAGTAAAGCCTCATAGTATGTATTTGTAGGATATAATAATAAGAAATTTGGTTAGAAGGTATGGAATCTAGTGAAAAAAGATAGTTAGAAGCAAAGATGTGATCTTCTATGAAAAAAAAAACCATAGCAAATCTTGAAAAAAATAAGATGACTACATTAGTTATTGTTAAATGTGATGTTTCAACACCAATAGGGGTTCTATCGAGAAAAACCTCAAATGGTAAAAATGAGTAAAAGATAGAACTTAGATATTCAAATGAGCCAATTATAGTTAGTGATAAGCCAAATATGATTAGTTTTGAGTAGAGAGAGCCAAGGTTTCAAATAGCAGTCGGATAGCAGTATAGCGGTCGTTATTTTTCGGTAATGTTGGCTTTCGAAATCGCTATCCTCCGTTATAGAAATGAAAGAAATGAATCACATCAATAGCGGCTCTTTACAACCTCCAATAGCGAAAAAATAATAAATAACGATAATACCGGTCCATTTTTCCCTTTATCGAGGGTTCTGTGATATTTTTTTCTTCACTTTTATCACATCAAAATTCTGATACGTAGCAAAATAAAGATAAAAGTCCATACCAAACCACAAGAATCAAAGAGATAGTGCTGCTCTTTCATAGCTTCCATACTTATCAGTTACGACGGATAAGAGTTTTTGATCTGTTCAACATTGAGAGAGAAGAGCCCAAACATGAAAGATAAAAAATTAATTGAAGCAGAGGCCATAAAAGTTTGGGTGCTGCATAAAGTTAGACAGATGGATTTGGTTATGGGTGGGATTACGTGGATGGAAAAGAAAATTAAAACAATGAACTGAGGCAGGGCATAAAGGAGAGTGAAGTAAGAGAAGAAACATAGAAAAAGGAGAAGAGGGGGATTTTCAGGGGTGCAAGTGATTTTAAGTTAAAATTAAAATTGGTTTTTGTTTTTGTTTATATGCAAAGTTGGGAGGGAAAGCAATTAAATAGTGAAAATTAAGAATTTAAGAAAATTTTTTAATGATTTAGATAAAACTTGAGAGGAAATGAGATGATAAAAATGAATTTATTTTTATGAGTTTTTTAAAGTTATTTTTATGAGTATTTTGTATGTATTAATATGGTTTAAAAATAATTAAATTTAAATGACTAAAGTTTTACTACTTAATTTATTGTTTTTTTTTT